GGGTCCCTGGGTGTTAGTCGACTGGTTTAGGTCGCATCCTGAGACAAAAACTGACCTAATTTGCCTGAAATGCTCTGCATAACAAGGGCCTTTCTATGTAGTAGTCAGCTAGGCCTGTATACCTTGTACATGTACTTGCAGAAATAAAGATATTATTATTATTATTATTATTATTATTATTATTATTATTATTATTATTATTATTATTATTATTATTATTATTATATACTGTCCTTCCCTCCTACCTACCCAACCTTCTACCCTCCCATCCTTCTGTACCCCCGTCACTCCTATCCATCTCTTCCTTTCTTCCAAACGCTATATACACTGAGAAGAGTATCTCACTTACATACACTTAGTTTACTTAAATCTTTTTATCCTTGGAATATACAAGTATCATTCATGATAATACGCAAAATGACTACAGCCTTAATCGTTTTATGCTGGCGTAGCACTAGCTGCCAGTTTTCTTCTCTTCCTCTATCCCTTTCTTATTCAGCCCCTCCATCTCCCTTTCTTCCGGCGCACTATCGCTCCAATTCTACGTCCGCCAGTCTCTTCCCTTCCCCTTCCTCTCAAACTCACTTTCTCCTTCCTCTCCTACTTCCTTTATCCTACCACTCATTTCAATCAATATCATGCTCCCTTTTCCTTGCTTTCTGGGTCTCTTTTAACGAAAGCTTTGCATTATTTATCGTTTCTGCCATTGGTGCATCACGATTCTCATTTCCATAGATTATGAAAATTTAATCCATCATTTTCAAGGACTGTCTGTCAAATATGCAGTTGGGAACATAACACATGAACTGTTATTTTTCATTTATGACGTTCCTTTCATTATATATGTATGTGTGTATGTATATATATATAATATATATATATATATATATATATATATATATATATATATATATATATATATATATATTATATATATATATATATATATATATATATATATATATATATATATATATATATGTATAATATATAAAGACAACACGCGGGGTGGAACCCCGTGGCTTGTCCTACATAATTAATCGCCGTATATATATATATATATATATATATATATATATATATATATATATATATATATATATATATATATATATATATATATATATTAAAAATGAAAAACAAACCATATATACAAGCGCTTTCAGCCTGCTTCCTTTATCTTTCGACAACCGAAATGAATCATCAAACGATTCGTTGCATGCATTGTAATTTAAAATATTTTATAATATTATAAAACGCAAAATAACCCATATTAGTAACGCTTTCATGTGCCTAATTTAAGATAATATAAATTGATGCAAAAACTGTTTATCACCTGTAAACTAACAATAATTGAACTTTGGCTAAACCATAAATTGCTTGGTAATTCAAACTAATGTACTGTAAAATTTACGAACAAGTATATAATAATACATGGAAACCTACTTAGGCTTCCAATTATTTGCCTCTTTTTTTCTCAAGTCTTTTCTTCGTTTGCTTTCTTAATATCTATAGTGCTCATCAAATAAGTTTGTCATTTACAGTATGTTGATATTGTTGTTATTATTACTGCTATTATTAGTTTTGATGTTATTTTGCATTTGCAAACACAGATTTATTTCTATTTAATATTCCAATTTACTAAGTTACCCTATAATATGTGGTACTTAGTTGTGTCGCTGCCTTCTTCCCATTATTGTCTTTGTCTAGTATGCATATTGTACCGTTTAACCCATTATTCATTTCGTGTATAATAATGAAAACCAGAAGTGGCTCAAAGAATGATCCCTCTAGTACAATACTTGTTTTATCGAGTCATATGAAGCATCCCAAACTCCGATATATCGACAGACAAGTGTCACGTCCGACTATGGGTTGGCTATCAGATTAGTAGTTTAAAAGACTTATATGAAAACGTACATAGATGTCTTCTGATATGTTGTATGGACGATTTCTCAGAAAGCCGTTTCGAGCTTATAATTTATGATACAAATATCGATTTTTTTTTTATCTCTAATTTACGGTTCAGTTAATTTTTCAACGACTGAAGCTAAGCTAATTGGTTTTTATTAAAAAAGGGAAATAAAGCCTTTTTTAAGTAAACAACCATGTAATATTCCTATAGACCCGTTTGTTTAAAGAAACATTAAACTTTATAGTCAAGGAGTTAACTACATTATATTTGGTCCACCGCATCATTCCTTCGAAGAATTTGTTACTGTTCGCTGTTTTTTATAACTTGATCTAAATTTGAACTGTTAATAAACCAAAAATGTTTTCACAGCTGACTGAAAATGGTATTAGTACGGTTATGTAGTGTATATTTTCTGCAGCAAATATATGCACAAACAAAACTGATATTATTTTCATATTTTATTTTTATTATTATCACACTGGCCGATTCCCACCAAGGCAGGGTGGCCCGAAAAAGAAAAACTTTCACCATCATTCACTCCATCACTGTCTTGCCAGAAGGGTGCTTTACACTACAGTTTTTAAACTGCAACATTAACACCCCTCCTTCATATCTAATGCTAATTAAATATTAAATGTTGAAAACAAAAATTAATAATGAGTAAACCATGTTCTTGTAGGGACTGCCGATACCCGCAATAACTATTAACCGAATGCCTCATGGAAATGTAGTACCTGATAATAAGGGTTTCTTGCAGACTTTTCAAATCAAACCTGAATTTCAATGTCGTGAGTATAGGAATCAAAAGTTGAATGTACTGTGGAAATTTAACCACTGTTTACATTGTGGGAATTTTTCATGCTTACAGGTACGCCACAAACGGGTTACTTTACTAAAATAAGAGCGTGAAAATTCTACACTGACGTTTAAAATAACTTTTTACTCCACAGTCCATGTTACTCGAGTTTTGAACATAGTCCATCGCGTCCTCCAACCCAAATACTACAAAGTCCTGTAAATGTAACAATATGAAACATACATATACTATGGTGCTTTAAATCTCATCCTTAAGACCGTGATATGTACGCGTTTCTCTGCTACAAAGACAAGTCTTCAAATTGGAATTCTAATAGAATATTTTGGGATGTGACGGTTCATTCAAGTTACAGTAAGTGTTTGCGTTCACAGAACAGGTGCACAAACTCATTCACTTTCTCTTTTTCCACATTTATTTACTCGCTAGGATATTCATTCACTAACTCACTCAGCCTTACAATCATATTCTCTAACTCACTCGTTCGGCCCGACCAACCGTTCACTCTAACATTCAAACTTTTTCTCTCACCCACTTAAGTTAACAACTCTCACTCAGTTCATTCACTATAAAGCTTTTCCTTTTTCTGTCATTCACTCACTGCTCCTCCCCTCATTCCCTGCCGTCATACCCTCCGTCACTTAACCACTTTTCACCCATTCACTTAACACTATGCATCCTCCCGTCCCCTCCCTCTCAGTCCCTCACCCACCAACTCTACTAATAACAATTTTTTTTTTTTATAATAGAGATTTCATGGCACTCGTTTTCTATGACTCTTGGTGCTCCATCATTTTTTTTTCTTTCGAGACTTCCAAAGACATTGAATTACGACTTTAAGCACTCTAGATTCCATAGAACTCTTGACTCCAGATTAGATATGTTTTTTTTCATTTTAAAGATGCAGAAATATATATATATATATATATATATATATATTATATATGTATATATATATATATATATATATATATATATATATATAATATATTATATATATATATATAGTATATATATATATATATATATATATATATATATATAATATATATATATATATATATATAATATATATATATAATTAATACATCAATAACAATACTGTGACTAGCCGAGGACTCGAGCCCATGTCGTTTTGGCCTGCCTCATGCTGAGCGAAAATCACTTGACGCTCTAACCCACTGGACCACTCAATCCTAAAAAAATCATGCACCCAGCAGAGCTAGGTAATTTTCGCTCACTATGAGGCGAGCCAAAACGACATGGGTTCGAGTCCTCTGTTAATCGCAGTGTTGTTATTGATTAAATACCATTCAAGGCCTTTCGTGTTGCAAAAGCAACACTTTATGAAAGAAAAGCCCAATCATGTGTGTTTGGAGAAGCAGTCCTCTTGAGTTCTTCTGCATTTGAATTTCTTCACTTTACTGCTCCTGAAGAAGTGTTACTTTTGCAACACCAAAGGCCTCGAGCAATATCATTCTCCCTCCCTGTGGTTGGCTTATATACACACACACACACACACACACGAGAGAGAGAGAGAGAGAGAGAGAGAGAGATAACCGCTAATAGCTCTTAGCTTGCCAATAAAGTTAGGAATCCTTAACCTGTAAATAGCTTGTCAATAAAGCGAGGGATCCTTAACCAAACCTTGTCAAACCCTGTGTAAAAGAGAGAGAGAGAGAGAGAGAGAGAGAGAGAGAGAGAGAGAGAGAGAGAGAGAGAGAGAGAGAGAGAGAGAGAGAGACGGAGGGATGGAGGGAGAGAGAGAGATAGAGAGAAAAAGAGAGAGAGAAATATGCATAGGGCATATTTGTTAAGTTTGAAATAATTTTTAAGTATTTTTCTAAGATGCTTCACATTCTCATCTTCGTCCTCCTCCAGTCCTAATATTATGCGTGAAAAGCATACTTATTGTAACAGTTGCCTGTCATCTCCGACACACCACTCTGCCAGAGATGTACAACAATTTCTCTATTTTTTGTAGCTAAATATATTTTTTATGGATTTTTGTAGCATAACTTAACTTTCTATAACCAAAAGTAAGTAAAGTTTTCTGCATGTATTAAATGTTCAATAAAGATTTTACTTGGTTTCATATCCGATATCCAGTTTAAACTATTCTATTTTTTTTTTCCAAATTAAAGCAGTTATTTTTCCGGTGACTTCTTCTGTCTCAGGAACTTTCATCTGCTTTGTACATAAGTTCTGTCAATACTTTCTACAACGCTATGAACAAGAGCATTATATAACGTCACAATGATGGGTACTTACTAATGACAGTGAAGTTGACAATGGTGTTCTTAGTAGGGGAAAGCATGTAGTCGACCCTACAGCGGTAGGTGGCCTGGTCCCGGTCCTGAACGGGAAACAATTCCAGATGTGCTCCCGGGGCAGAGGAACCACCCCATGTGTTGCCTGGGAGAAGCTGGAAGTACGCCCGCTTTTCTAAAAGTACTGTATCGGACCAGTGGTTACCCTGCTGGATGCTCTTGCCCCGCGCGTCGAAACTAAAACGATAGAAACAAAATCGTAATTTGTATTTATGACCTATATATATATATATATATATATATATATATTATATATATATATATATATATATATATATATATATATATATATATTATATATATTATATATATATATATATGTGCAACTCTTGGGTATCTTTATTGAGGAAACGTTTCGCCACACAGTGGCTTCATCAGTCTATACAAAGGAGAATCGTGAAGAGCAGGAGGAGAATGAGGTATGGATGGATGAAGCCGCTGTGTGGCGAAACGTTTCCTCAATAAAGATACCCAAGAGTTGCACATGTGTCTAGTTTATCAACATGTCGGTTCTCTGAACCATTCATCTACAAAACATGGAATGTTTATATTTGGAAACTGCTTCATATGTACACCAGTTCTAGCACACCATTATATGTACACTTAAGGCTATTGCCTGACTACAAACTACATTCGTATTTTCCTACTGGTCTAACTATAGTTGGTGAAAGGAGGGGCGAGATCGGAGCATTCAGGTCAGACTAACATCAAAGAAGTAACAACGTCCAGTTGGGTAGTCTAAGAGGCTGGTACATAGATAGGTCAGTGGCGAGGACCTCACTCGCATTTGCCACGAAAGTGTTTGTAGATGAATGGTTCAGAGAACCGACATGTTGATAAATTAGACACATGTGCAGCTCTTGGGTATCTTTATTGAGGAAACGTTTCGCCACACAGTGGCTTCATCAGTCCATACAAAGGAGAATCTTGAAGAACAGGAGGAGAATGAGGTAATCAGTCCCTCAACCTTGAGTCGATGTGGTCAGTCCATCAATCTTGAATATTCAAGATTGATGGACTGACCACATCGACTCAAGGTTGAGGGACTGATTACCTCATTCTCCTCCTGTTCTTCAAGATTCTCCTTTGTATGGACTGATGAAGCCACTGTGTGGCGAAACGTTTCCTCAATAAAGATACCCAAGAGTTGCACATGTGTCTAATTTATCACAAAAGTGTTAGTGAAATGTGTGTTAAAAAGCCTTGTGTATTATGAACAGCACGAGTAATAAGCAGAACGAGGTAGATATTGAAAAGCCAGTGACACTGGGTGATAAGGACAGTAATAGGTTTAGTAGAAAAACAGAAATGAGCAGGAAGGGTAAAGAGAAAAGAGAGTCTTTCAATGTTTATTATGCTAATAGCCGTAGTGCTAGGAATAAGATGGACGAGTTGAGATTAGTTGCTAGTGCAGGTAACATTGATGTATTTGCCTTAACTGAGACGTGGTTTAATTCAAAAAGTCGGGACATGCCTGTGGAATGTCACATTCAGGGTTTTAAATTGTTCCAAGTAGATAGAAGTATCGGGAAGGGGGGTGGGGTGGCATTGTACGTCCGAGATCGCTTGAACTGTTGCAGAAAAACGGGTATTAAGTCTGAAGTAACACATGCAGAGTCTGTTTGGATAGAATTTTCAGAGAGGCATGAAAAACTGATTTTAGGAGTGATATACCGTCCCCCAAACTTAGATAGGGACCAAGGGAGACTACTATGGGAGGAAATTGTTAAGGCCACAAGGCACGATAATGTAGTAATTCTAGGGGACTTTAACTTTAGTCATATTGATTGGAATTTCTTGACTGGGAATTTAGAATCATACGACTTCTTAGAAGTAGTTCAGGATTGTTTTTTGAAGCAGTTTGTGACAGAACCTACAAGGGGAAATAACCTGCTTGACTTAGTTCTGGCAAACAATGAATCCCTTGTTAATAATTTAGAAATTTCAGAGGAACTGGATGCTAGCGACCACAAATCAGTTACATTTAGCATTGAATGAAAGTACGACAGTAGCAATAACTCAGTAACAGTCCCAGATTTTCGCTTAGCAGATAACGATGGGCTTAGAGAACACTTATCATCTGTTGACTGGGGTAACGAAGAGAGCTATCAATATGACAGTTTTCTGAACACTATACATGCTGCTCAAAGAACGTTTATCCCGTATAAAGAAATTAGATCAAATTGAAATGACCCAAAATGGATGAATAATAGGCTCAAATATCTACTAGGGCATAAGAAAGGAATTTATATGCGTATCAAAAGAAGTGAGGGCCATCTTATGAATCAGTATATTGACATTAAGAGGGACATTAAAAAGGGAATAAGAAAAGCTAAAAGGGACTATGAAATTAAAGTTGCTAGGGATTCTAAAACTAACCCAAAAAGTTTTTTCCAGGTCTATAGAACAAAAGTTAGAGATAAGATAGGTCCCCTTAAAAATACCTATGGGCATCTTACTGACAAAGAGAATGAAATGTGCTCGATTTTAAATAATTATTTTCTCTCGGTTTTTACACAGGAAGACACTAACAATATTCCAGTAATTAATTTTTTTTAGTGGGCTAGAAGAAGATAAATTATGTAACATCACAGTCACTAGTGAAATGGTTGTGAAGCAGATAGACAGACTGAAGCAAAATAAGTCGCCGGGTCCTGATGAGGTTTTTTTTCAAGGGTTCTTAAGGAATGCAAAATGGAACTCTGTGAACCATTAACTAATATTTTTAATTTATCTCTTCAAACAGGTGTAGTGCCTGATATGTGGAAGATGGCTAATGTAATTCCTATTTTTAAAACAGGGGACAAGTCGTTACCGTCAAATTACCGCCCAATAAGCCTGACCTCAATTGTAGGCAAATTACTAGAGTCAATTATAGCTCAGATTATAAGAAGCCATCTCGATAAGCATAGCTTGATTAATGATACTCAGCATGGATTCACAAGAGGCCGGTCTTGTCTAATTTATTAACTTTCTTCAGTAAAGCTTTTGAGGCTGTTGACCACGATAAAGAGTTTGATATTATTTACTTAGATTTTAGTAAGGCTTTTGATAGAGTTCCGCACCAAAGACTATTAAAGAAAGTGGCAGCTCATGGCATTGGGGGAAAAGTGCTCTCATGGATCGAGTCATGGCTCACAGACAGGAAGCAGAGAGTGTCCATAAATGGGGTTAAATCCGAGTGGGGATCTGTAACAAGTGGCGTTCCACAGGGATCAGTCTTGGGCCCGTTGTTGTTTATAATATATATCAATAACATTGATGAGGGAATTACTAGTGATATGAGCAAATTCGCCGATGACACAAAGATAGGTAGGATAATTGATTCAAACGTAGACGTTAGGGAACTTCAGGAGGATTTAAACAAACTCTATTCTTGGTCAGAAAAGTGGCAGATGCAGTTCAATCTTGGTCAGAAAAGTGGCAGATGCAGTTCAATGTAGATAAATGCAAGGTTCTGAAGCTCGGGAGTGTCCATAACCCTAGCACTTATAAGTTAAATGATGTAGAACTTAGCCATACAGATTGCGAAAAGGACTTGGGGGTTATGGTGAGCAGCAACCTTAAACCAAGACAGCAATGCCTAAGCGTACGTAATAAGGCAAATAGATTACTGGGATTTATATCAAGAAGTGTAAGCAACAGAAGTCCAGAGGTTATACTGCAGCTTTATACATCATTAGTAAAGCCTCACCTAGATTATGCAGCTCAATTCTGGTCTCCATATTACAGATTGGACATAAATTCGTTAGAAAACATTCAGCGTAGGATGACTAAATTAATACATAGCATTAGAAACCTTCCTTATGAAGAAAGATTGAAGACTCTTAAGTTACATTTACTTGTTGATAAATTAGACACATGTGCAACTCTTGGGTATCTTTATTGAGGAAACGTTTCGCCACACAGTGGCTTCATCAGTCCATACAAAGGAGAATCTTGAAGAACAGGAGGAGAATGAGGTAATCAGTCCCTCAACCTTGAGTCGATGTGGTCAGTCCATCAATCTTGAATAGAATACGGCATACGTGCTGAGAAGGAGCTTATAAACCGTTGGCAGGAGAGGTGCAGAAGTCATAGGTCGTGTAACATTTGTTCAATGTTGAAGTAGGTCGTGCCCAAGAATTAGGCAAGCGAAGAATTCCCAAGTATTAAGATTCCAAGAAGTTGCAGTGTCTGACAGGTTTGTAGATGAATGGTTCAGAGAACCGACATGTTGATAAATTAGACACATGTGCAACTCTTGGGTATCTTTATTGAGGAAACGTTTCGCCACACAGTGACTGACCACATCGACTCAAGGTTGAGGGACTGATTACCTCATTCTCCTCCTGTTCTTCAAGATTCTCCTTTGTATGGACTGATGAAGCCACTGTGTGGCGAAACGTTTCCTCAATAAAGATACCCAAGAGTTGCACATGTGTCTAATTTATCAACATGTCGGTTCTCTGAACCATTCATCTACATTTACTTGTTAGACGAAGAATGAGGGGAGACCTGATCGAAGTGTATAAGTGGAAGATAGGTATTAATAAAGGGGATATTAATAAGGTCTTGAGGATGTCTCTCCAAGAGAGAACCCGCAGTAATGGATTTAAATTAGATAAGTTTAGATGTATAAAGGACACAGGAAAGTATTGGTTTGGAAATAGGGTAGTTGACGAGTGGAACAGTCTACCTAGTTGGGTTGTTGAGGCTAGGACTTTGGGTAGTTTCAAATTTAGGTTGGATAAGTACATGAGTGGGAGGGGTTGGATTTGAGTGGGACTTTCACATCAGAGCTTGTTTCTTGGGTAGCATTGAAAATTGGGTTCGTCAAATGTTTTGTTAGTGGGATGAATTGTAAAGGACCTGCCTAGTATGGGCCAACAGGCCTGCTGCAGTGTTCCTCCTTTCTTATGTTCTTATGTTCTTATGTAGACGTCTGGTTGATGCGTGTATGTTAGGAAAATAAAAAATTGATAAGGAAATGTTGAGAGCAAGCTATGACAACAGAGACAGGGTTTCAGGACGTAAAAAAGAGGAAAGGATTCGTGTAAGAATAAGTTCTGTAATGTTTTTAGTGATAGTGTTATAAAAAGAGAAGGTCGAAATACCGGGAAGAGTAATCATCAGAACATGACTCTGGAGCGAGAGGTCAGAGCTAAATGAAGGAAGAAAGAGAATAA